TCTCCAAATCATTTTATGAAGCTAACATAACATTGATATCAAAACTGGGTAAAGATCCAACAAAGAAAGAGAACTACAGGGCAGTATCTTTAATAAACATAGATGCTAAAATTCTCAGCAATATTCTAGCAAACCAGATCTAACAACATATCTCAAAAATCATCCGCTTTGATCAAGTAGGCTTCATCCCTGGGATGCAGGGCAGGTTCAACATCTGCAAGACCATAAATGTAATTAAATACATCAACAGATGTAAAGACCAAAAACCACATGATTATATCATTAGATGTGGAAAAAGCTTTTGACAAAATCCAGCACCTCTTCTTTATAAAAACCCTCGGACATCTAGACATAGATGGAACATACCTCAAATAGTAAGCGCCATCTATGAGAAACCCATAGCCAACATACTGCTAAACAGACAGAAATTGGAGCCATTTCCCATGAAAACCGGAACAAGACAAAGATGACCACTCTTACCTCTCCTGTTCAGCACAGTATTGGAAGTCCTAGCTAGAGCAATCAGACAAGAGAAGGAAATCAGGGGTATCCAAATAGGAAAAGAATTTAAGTCAACCCTCTTTGCGGTTAACTTTCTTTAAAAAGCACTTTTGATAATCCAGAAGGCTTATATGGTATGCTTTTTAAAAAACATTCACTTGTTTAACTTTTTAAATGTAAGAATTATAAACTCAAATCTCTACTCTTGATTTATAAACTTCAGAACTAAAGCTGTCTTCTGACTCTTCTATTTGAAAGGCTAAGAAGTGAACATACTTAATCTTCTTTCCATCAGTCTCTCCTTATTTTTGTTGATCTCCTCTGGAATTTTTGTCTAGTCTATTATTATTATTTTCACATTTTGTACTCTTCTTTCAATAGTTATGATATTTATATTGTTTTGCAAATTTTACAGATTTTTCCTAATTGAATTATTGTTCTTTGCCTGTGACTAAATTTTTCTAAAATTAAAACTCAGCTATGTTTACTTTTTCATATTTCTTAACCTTCAGCATCAGTGATCTATTTCTGGTAAAATCCATTTACAAGGAACACGATTAGGAAGTAGGTTTCTGTATAATAAAGCAATTTGAATGTCTGCAGATGGCCTACAATATTTTGTTTATTAAGTTACAAAGAATTATCTTCCACCAATTATCCTAAACAACAAATAATTTATCTATGCTTTGGTTATTGTTTTGCTATAACCAAAGAGCTATGTTTGCAAAGTGCTACACTAGTTTTATAACAAATTTTGAAATGCACCTTTACTTTTCGTTTGCTTCTTTTTATTTTCCTTTGAGTTGGAGTGTCACTCCGTCACCTAGGCTGGAGTGCAATGGAATGCTCATGGCCACCCCAGTGTCCACCTGCTGGGCTCCAGCAATCCTTCTGCCTCAGCCTTCCCAGTAGCTAGAACTACAGGCGTGTGCTACCATGCCTGGCTATTTTTTGATTTATTGAAGAGAGGAGGTCTCACCAAGTTGCCTGGGCTGGTCTTGAACCTGCTGGCTCAGGCAATCCATTTGCCTCGGCCTCCTAAAGTGCTGGGATTACAGGCTGAGCCACTGAGACCACCCATTTGCTTCTTTTTGAAGCATCTGTTAGCATTTGTACTCTTCTCTCCTTTAACAAATATTCCAGTCACTCATTTAATTTAAGTAATCACAAGCCAAACGTATTCTTGCTATTTTCTAGCATTCCTTTTCGGTCAGTGTTTCGTTTGCATTATGTACTGCTCTGATATTTCTGTTATCAGTTGAAGATAGATCTGTTGATTTTTCCTTCCCTATTATAATACTATCTAATTCCAGGTTTTTTTTTTTTTTAAAGGTTTTAAAACCCCTTTTCTGGCATATATTTAATTCATGGTTTTCCCCTCATCATTCCACCCACTCTTCCTCCCTCTTTTTCTCCCTTCCTTCCTCCTTTTGTTTTTTCAGTGAATATTACATATTGTAATATCTATTGTCTCAGTCATCATGGTAAAATATCTGAGATATTAAAGGGACATGGTCCTGCCTTCATGGAACTTCCATTCCAGTTGAGCAGACATTTAAAAAAAACAAAAAAACCCCCAACCACTATGTATACATGCAGATAAATAATTGTTTAAAGTGCCAAGAAAGAGAATAGCAGGGATTAGACATACATAAAATTTAGCTGATTACTAAAGGAAGAGATGGATTTTTGTCATGTGAAGGAGTGGAAGAGCTTCCAGGAACAGGAAAAAATCTTTTAGGAAGAGATTGGGTTTGATATGTTCAGAAAACTGAAGAAAAAACAATGCCTCTAGAATTTATTTATCTGGGTGGAAAATGGTAAAACATGAAATTCGAAGTACAGACAGGACAGATTAGAGACAGTATAGGTCTCAGAAAGGAGTTTGGATATTTCTTTAAATGAAAAGGAAAGCCAGTGTAGCATTTCAAGGAAAACAGTGGTCTTAATTTTTTCCTCCTGTTTTAAGGGGAACTAATTAGAAAGAAACATGAGAGTGTACCATTTGGGAGGTATTGTAATAATAGTCTAAGCCAGAGATGATCTTAACCTTCAAAAGGGTTGGTAGTGGAGACGGAGAGAAGTGGGTGAAGTTGTGGTTGACATTGGAGATTGAATCATTGCTAACTTGATGGATTGTTCATGGGAAAGGATGGCCTGAGCTTCAAAGGTGCAGGGCCTTTTGCAGGAAGACAGGGAATGTGTATTCGCAGCACTGGAGTATTGGGAGTGAGATAGAGCCAGGTTTTTGTGAAAGGTAAAAAAGTAAATGGAAAGTTCTTATAAGAACTGTGAGGAATTTTTAATTCATAGAGTACAAAATCCTGAGGGCACAGGATTTTGTAGATAGTTGCCTAGGTTGGATTAGGAGATATTGAGGGTAATATGAGGTTGACAGTTGGAGTATAACGTATCCTCTGAGGCCTTGGACTTCCTGCAGCGAATACAATGAGCAGGGCTATTATGTAGAAGGACAGTTTTACCTGTATGGTCTTTAATGCAGGCTTTCAAGATGGCTTCTTACCTAGGCTACAAGGACTTTTACATAGAATTCACAAAATGTATTGCTACAAAGCACTTAGAGAATATATTTTTTTTAAGGCAGAACAAGAACACTGACTCCTTCCACCTTATTTTGAGACTTAACATTATGCACATAGTGTAGAATGTTTTTCCAACATTGTATGTTTTGGAATGAAAATATGAGATGAAAAAGGCAAAGCTATATAAGTTATGGTCATTTAGATTTTCAAGAAAGGGCTGCATCCATTTTAAATTGATTTCTGGTGTGAAGAGCATGCTATTGGTTACATTTTAGAATTTCTTTCTTTTTTTTTTTTTTTGAGTTGGAGTCTGACTCTGTCGCCCAGACTGGAGTTCAGTGGTCACTCCCGGCCACCGCAGCCTAGACCTGCTAGGCTCCAGCGATCCTTCTGCCTCAGCCTTCCACGTATCTGGAACTACAGGTGTGCGCTATCACGCCTAGCTAATTTTTGATTTATTGTAGAGATGAGGTCTCGCCAACTTGCCCTGGCAGGTCTCGACCCACAGGCTCAGGTAATCCACTCACATCAGCCTCCCAAAGCGAGGGATTACAGGCTGAGCCTCTGAGCCCGGCTACATTTTAGAATTTAAAAGGAAATATGATGGGTTTATACTCCATATTTATCATGTTTCATGTTCATCATAGCATTTCACAACTAAAAATGACCCCTTTCCCTAAACAAATGTCCTTATAGGTTATTATGTTTTTTTAAAAAAAATATGTTTCAGTGTATCAAAAGCAAGATTACCAAGTCAGACCCTGGCAAGTATGAACTGTGACTAAGAGTTTTCTTTCTTTAGGCCACAAATTTGATTTAGATGCTTATGAAATTTTGATTTAGCATTACATTGGAATATTAATCAAAAGAGAATAATTCTGTTCATTCACAGATGAAAAGTAATAGAGTAGACAATTATTCTTGTCAATATCTGAAACCAAACTTTTTCCATTTTTTAATATCTTTAATATGTACCCCCTTTGATTATGATAGGTTCCAATAATTGTTTCTGAAGAGAATTTTGGAGACTTATAGTAAAGAAACTTTCTCTCTCTCTCTCTTTCTTTCTTTTTTTCTGGTATGGAAGTTAAGAAGTCTAACTAATGATAGATGATTTGTTCTTCTATCAGTCTCTATATGCCCACTTGTCCCAAGTCTACAATTATGTGTCTCTGTTATTGAGTGTTGTGCCCCTTAGCTATGATGTGCTGGAAAAACTATTGAGATCTAGTAATATTTGTTAAAGAAAGAAGTGAACTACCGATAGAAATCCAGAGATTACCAGTATTTAAGATGCAGGCAACAAAAGAAGAAGAGGTACCAAAGTTGAAAGGAAATTTTAGAAAAGGATGAAAAGCCAGGAGTGTTGGAAGATAAGCTAGGAAGCCATGCAAGCCCTAAAAGAAGACATTTCAGGAAGAAGTTAAGTGAGCAGGATTAGATGTCACAGAGAGGCAGGTTAAGATGAAGATGGAAAAATGTCTGTTGCATTTGACCATTAAAAATTGGTGATCCTGGACAACCTCTTCGGGTTCCCTCCCATTGTGGGAGCTTTTCTGTCCTCTTAATAAATCCTGTTTTCAAAAAAAAAAAATTGGTGACCCTATTGGGGCATTAGAATGGTGTGGACAGAACAGTATTTCAGGTTGTTGGAAAACAAATGAGAAGTGATAAAATGAAGACTACAGTGTGGACTCTCAAAGAGTCCCTTAACCATTTCCCTAGTATTCTGCATAGTGTCTGGTTATTGAATTTTGAAGCACTTATAGTTGAAATTGAAGATGTTAAATATGAACCATTCATAGCTCATTGCACAATTGCCCGAAACCTGCTGCTTTTATATTAATGTAATAATTTATGTAAAGCTAAATATTTAAAGTTTTTGAAAATTTGAAGCAGAGCAAAATGGAAACTTCTAATACAAATGCTAAGGTTTTCTTTTCTTTTCTTTTCAAGTCTTGGCTACTTATGATTCAGCAGACGGAACAGCTTAGTAAAATAATGAAGACACATGCAGAGGACTTAAACTCTGGACCCTTACACAGGCTCACCATGATGATCAAGGACAAGCAGCAGGTGAAGAAAAGTTATATAGGTGTTCATCAACAGATTGAGGCAGAGATGATCAAGGTTAGTCTTTTCTATGTTGAAAGTTTTTCTTTAATTTGTTCTTTAAATTCAATGAAATACTTTATCCTGTTTGACTTTAAAAATTGTTTACTCGGCCAGGCTCGGTGGCTCAGTCTCTAATCCTGCACCTTTGGGAGGCCGAGGTGAGTGGATTCCCTGAGACCACGGGTTCGAGACCTGCCTGGGCAACTTGGCAAGACTTCATCTCTACAATAAATCAAA